TTTTTTTGTTACAGTTATCATTGTTCTTTAGCAGGCCCGGGCCAGGTTTGAACCTACCACCTGGCCAGAGCTGTAACCACTGTGTTATGGGTGCCGAGCCAGTTTCACTTTTATTATATATATGAGTTGTACATGGTGGATGTAAGGGCATAGGTTAATTACAGGGTTAAAAGCCACTAGTGGAGAAATTGGACAATTATTGATTTATTTGTTCATTTAAAAAATACTTTCGAACACAAACTGTGAGCCAGGAAGTCTCCCAGGTGCTAGGATTAACTCTGGACACCTGCCATGACTGGACAGGCCTGCCCTGGCAGGATGAGCTGACACAGCAGGGAGTGGGGTTGTGAGGCCAGGGCTTTGCTCTAAGTAACAGGGGCCCCATCAGGACTTTGAGCAGAGCCCAGTGTGTGTGTAGTCACGCTGGGTGAGGACAGGCAGAGGCTGGGGGCTAGCGAGCAGGCTGAAGGGGGTGGGTGGACGATTGTGGACACACCTGAGGGGAGCTAGGAACCTCAGATGTTGGATGGGGACACAAGAGGGGCAGATGTTGAGGACAACAGATGGTTTGGGCCTGAGCACCAGAAGGGTGTTGGGGTGCAGCGGCTGGTCGGGCGTCACACACCAATGTTCATTCCACGTACAAGTGTTGAGTCCTGTGACTTCACTAGGCATGGGAAAGGGCTCATCAGGGAGCCAAGAGGTAGGGCAAGACGGGAACTGGGGCAGTGTGCATTTCCGTGGTGCTAGTGGTGCTAGGATGCACAGGTCCTGGTGGCAGGGGAGTGAGAGCTGCCCCTTCCTGGCAGGTGCCCCTGACACATGGGGTTCCTGCCCCCTGCTGGCCACGGCCTGCACAGCTCGGCCCCCATGGATCAGTGTCCAGAGAAAAAGCCAGTTTGGTGATTTTGTGATGCTTTATGAAGAGTGAATCAATGACTTTTATATTCTGACTCCGTTAAGTGTTACTGCTTTTACCCCTTACCATAATTTTGCCTTTCAAAGGACAGAAAAAGTAAAATAAACATTTTCGATTGTGCTTTCTGCAGAGTTTCTCTGAGGCGCCCACTCAGTATTCAGGACCGTGCAGCTTTGCGGGGGCAGCAACTCTGTTTATTGCCCTGGGCCTGCAGAACGTGCTAAACACTCCCGGCAGCTATCAGGGCTGGGCTTAGCCCCCTCGGTGCCAGCCCTTTAGGGCTTCTAGTGTGTTGAGAGTGTCCTGGGGAGGATGGTCTTGGTGCAGGGGCTTTAGCAGGTGGTTGGAAGCTATGGCCACCCCACCCCCCACCAGCTTCACACTGTGCAGGGCAAGCACAGACAGGAGGTGTGTCCTTAGTGAGAGCTGACTCTGCTAGCCCTCGGTGCTGTTTACACAGATGAAAGATCACAGGTGCTGTAGGAAGAACCTGAAAAATAATTGGGTGCATGTGCTTGGCACTGACCACTGTAGTGTCCCAGATCACAGCCTCCCTCTCCATGACAGCATTCATGTGTCTCTCCTCACTAACTGCTGCATCCTGCACAGCTCCGGACTCCTAAACTCCTAACCCTGCCAGGAAAGTCTGTGCTGGGTCCTCTCTACCATCTTCCTTCACAGTGGCCTGATTTGTTCCAGGAATTGCTGCTGGAGTTTGAATCTGAAATACAGAAGCGGGAACATGAGTTCCGCCTACAAGCTGACAGCATGAGCAACACAGTCTTATCCCAGGAGCTCAAGGTAACTGGGTGACTTCCTGGAGTCTGAAAGGTTTTTCCCCGTCTACCCTAAGAACCCTCTTTTGATTGGTAAGGCGACTTCTCAACTACGAGGTAGATGGATCACACGCAGGCAAATGGGCTGGGGTCTTGGTGAAAGTGGGCACACGTGTGCTGGGGTGTTGGCCATGGAATCCCTGTCTGTGAACAAGCATGGTCCCTTGAGGTGAGTGACCAGACTGACACTGGCCACTGTGGACTCTGACAAATCCACTGCAGACTGTGCCCCTGTTGGTGCCCTAAGTTCTCCTGTGAGATCATTGAAATGCACCTGGAGGGTGCTACTCCTGTCCCCACTGTAGGGGCCAAGACCATGCTCAGCACCTATCTGGAGCTGCAGGGCTGTGTGTGGCAGAGCCACCAGCAGCACCCACCCTCGGCATGCATGTGTCCCACGTGCCACCCCAGACATTGTCAGGTCGCCCTCAGGACACAGAACAAGGACCAGCCTCGAGGGGCTGCATGAACGCAGGATAGTAGCTTCTGTTGGGGATGAGGGAGGAGAGAAATGCCTGGTCTGGCCCTGCTGCCCCACTGGTTGTTCCTGTGGGTGACATCTTTTGTGGTTAGCACCAGTGCCTCCCCCCTTATGTCCTAGCCTCTCCATAGGAAGCTGTCAGCCCGGGGGGGGGAGGCCCCGAAGACCCTTGTGGGTGGTGGCAGGAGCAGGTATTGAGAGTGTCAGGGTCCAAGCAGGCAATCCCTAGTCTCACCTCCTGACACAGATCACAGTCCCCCTGCATGAATGTCGCAGTGGCCCGCTTGTCCCTTTCTTGCCAAGTTCCCTGCCCCACCTCTAGATGCACTGCTCACCCTGTTAGCCAGAGCCCAGAGCGGGCTGGCCCTGAGGCTAGGATTGCACCAGAGGGACCCTTACAACCTTTGAAAGGTTTGTAAGAGCACCCAGGGGCAGGAGGGCAAGTGGGCAGTGTGGGCGCCCTGTGCTTCATGGTAGGTTGGCTCTCCTGTCAAAGGCAGGGATGCCCCATTTTTATCTCCACCTGCTACAAGAGCCCGTGGTGGGCACCACAGTGTACAGTTTTTAATAAAAGAAAAGTACAGTCGGCTCGGTGCCCGTGGCTCAAGCGGCTAAGGTTCTAGCCACACACCTGAGCTGGCAGGTTCGAATCCAGCCCAGCCCTGCCAAACAACAATGACGCCTGCAACCAAAAAATAGTCAGGCGTTGTGGCAGGCGCCTGTAGTCCCAGCTACTTGGGAGGTGGAAGCAGGAGACTCGCTTGAGCCCAGGAGTTAGAGGTTGCTGTAAGCTGTGATGCCATGGCACTCTACCCAGGGTAACAGTTTGAGGCTCTGTCTCAAAAAAAAAAGAAAAGAAAAGCAGAGTCTTTTTTTGTTGAGGTTATAGTCATGAGCCACCACAACTAGCCTTATTTTGCTCCTGGACTCAAAGGATCCTCCTGCCTTGGTCTCCTTAGTAGCTGGGACTACAGGCTTCTGGTGTCAATGCCTAGATAATTTTTCTTATTATTTTTTAAAAGTTGAAGTTGTACTTCATCGCCCAGGCTGGTCTGGAACTCTTGGCCTCAAGCTATCCCCTTGCCTTGGCCTTCCAAGTTGCTAGGTTGACAGTGTGAGCTTCCATGCTGGGCTCCTGTATGCACAGGAAATTCAGGGTCAGAGAGGTTGTTTAAAAATTCTGCGTGAAGGCTTGGTGCCCATAGCTCAGTGGTTAGGGCACCAGCCACATGCCCTGGTGCCTGGTGCTTGGTGGGTTCGAACCCAGCCGGGACCCACTAAGCAACAATGACAACAACAGCAACAAAATAGCTTCATGTTGTGGTGGACACTTGTATTCCCAGCTATTTGGGAGGCTGAGACAAGAGAATCGCTTAAGCCCAAGAGTTTGAGGTTGCTGTGAGCTGTGATGCCACGGTACTCTACCAACTAGGGCGACATAGTGAGACTCTGTCTCAAAAAAAAAAAAAAATTCAGTGTACAGAGGCCAGGCATGGTGGCTCACAACTGTAATCCTAGCATTCTGGAAGGCCAAGGTGGGAGAATTCCTTCAGACCAGCCTGAACAAAATGAGACCCCATCTACTAAAAATAGAAAAACTAGCCAGATGTTATGGTGGGCGCCTATAGTCCCAGCTATTCGGGAGGCTGAGGCAGGAGTATCACTTGAGCCCTGGAGTTTGAGGTTGCTGTGAGCTGTGATGATGATACAGCACTCACTCTACCCAGGGCAACAGAGACTCCGTCTCAAAAAAAAAAAAAAATCAGCATGCAACTGGGATTTGAGTAGGACTGCTCAGCCGTGAGCCATGTTCTTACACCCTGCATGCTTGATTTCATTATTTAAATAATATTCCAATTATGTACTAAGAAACGAAGTGCTATTGATTTGTCCGTTAATAGGACGGACTTAGGTGCACACGGGGCACCCTAGTGGGACTGGGGCCTGACCCTAGTGACGTGCACGTGCCTTCAGAGAGCCCCCATGGGGGCGTGCGGGGGGCAGTCTTGCTGTTTACTACTTCCTGAACTTTGATTTTATTCTCTCTTAACCCTGATAGAATGACAGCACACACATCTGATGTCTCACTTTGTTCTGACTGTATCTTAATTTTGAATTTTTAAAAATCATTCAAAGGTTAAACTACTGAACAAAGAGCTTGAGGCTCTGAAAGAAGCTGGAGTGAAGGCTGCAGAGTGTATGCAGAAGGCAGAGACTGCAAACTCAGAGCTGGAAAAGAAGCTCCAGCATCAAGCCTGGGCGCTCCAGGACCTGGAAGCCGTGAAGAACGCGCGGTACGTGGCTGCGCCCTGTCCCTGTTGCCTGTGGCAGGTTCTGTGGCCCCATCCCACAGTGTGGGCTGGGCCAGGACTCTGTTCCAGCTTATTCCAGGCCAGTGTTTGCTTTAGCCTCTTATCTACATTTTCCACTAATATTTGTTTCTTTTTAGGATAAATGACTTAGAAAATAAACTTCACTCTGTGCAGCTAACCAGGAAAAAGGAAGAGGAAACATTTAAGAGGAAGTGAGTGTTTCTGCCTCCCCCAACTGTGCAGCCTGGCAATGGCCTGGGAGCAGGAGATGAGACTGATGTGCTCAGCCTTGAGTTCATGGCCACGAAGAAGAGGCCCCACTAGCCAGGGAGGCTTTGGCCTGGGTTTGGGTCTGTGTTTATGCTCTGCTGTAGATTTTCTCAGTGATGTTTAGGATTTTTAATGTTTTACAATTAAAAAAATTAGCCAGGCGCAGTGGCTCACACCTATAATCCTAGCACTCTGGGAGGCTGAGCTGAGTAGATTGCCTGAGCTCATGAGTTCAAGACTAGCCTGAGCCAGAGCGAGATCTCATCTGTAAAAATAGCTGGATGTTGGGGTGGGTGCCTGTAGTTCCAGCTACTCGGGAGGCTGAGGCAAGAGAATTGCTTAAGCCCAAGAGTTTGAGGTTGCTATGAGCTGGGACACCATGGTACTCTACTGAGGGTGACAAAGTGAGACTCTGCCTAAAAAATAAAATAAAATAAAATAAGAGTTAAAATACTTAAAACCTAAGTCGGGGTGGCGCCTGTGGCTCAAAGGAGTAGGGGGCTGGCCCCATATGCTGGAGGTGGCGGGTTCAAACCCAGCCCTGGCCAAAAACTGCAAAAAAAAAAAACCTAAGTCAAAAGTTAACTTTTAAAACTTAAAAGTTCTGCTTATTAACCAATTTTATCAGTTTTCTATTGTAGCAGCTAATTTTACTTTGGTGATATAGCCACTCTTTTATTGTAGCAAAATAATTTTGTTCTCTTGGTTCTAAAATTCTTAAGTTCTAAAGAACCCTCCTTTCCCACTAAAATGATTTTTTTTTTCTTTTGAGACAGAGTCTCATTCTGTTGCCCTGGGTAGAGTGCTGTGGCATCATCACAGCTCACGTAACCTCAAACTCCTAGGCTTAAGTGATCCTCCTGCCTCAGTCCCAGTAGCTGGGACTACAGGTGCCCACCACCATGACAGGCTAGTTTTCTATTTTTAGTAGAGTTGGGGTCTCTCTCTTGCTCAGGCTGGTCAGGTGATCCACCCACCTTGGCCTCCCAGAGTGCTGGGGTTACAGGTGTGATGATTTCCTTCAGTTTTTCTTGAACCATATTTGCGTCTATAGGCACAGTTTTCATATACCGGCTAATATTTTAAATTTTTTTTTTTTTTTTTTTTTTT